TTGAACTTATCGACCACATTGTATGTTATTTAGTTTGGCATATCGTGTACGTGAATAGGAAGCTGCTGCTTGTGACATTCATTTAGCACCACTTCCTCAACCGAATTTCAATATTAAGGTTCATTATGCTACTTATACATATATAAATCAATTTCAATGGAAATCGCTTATGCTACGGATGAAATCAATTTATTTACCCTAAACACGTGTTACTATTCTTTCTGACCAGGGCAACATTCTTATAGGGACAAGGCACTCCGTTTTTGGAATCGCAGCTGAGGGACGAAGACTGGAGTTTTTCAAGTATATCAGTTCAAATGTTACAGTGTTTAATCATTTTTTTGATGAGTTTCATTTTAAAAGATTGAGACTATTAATCTTAAAAGTCCTTAAAAAGTCGATCAAACACAGTAATGTTTTAGTGACGTGTCTGGGGAATATTTTGTCTTTTACCTGACTGAAGGGGGAAAAAGGATAAACACACCTGACAAGTTAATATTTAACAAATGGCTTGTTGAATATTTTTCAGATTAAATTTTGATCGTTCTTAGTAACGATATTTTATTTTTTGGTATAGCCTATATATAATGATGACCTGACACAGCATATCACATTGTCCAACTTGTTTTGTTTTTGGATGTTCACAGCTTTGACCTTGATCCAAGGGTTCGTCACACAAACTGGGGTTTGTGGATAGGAATGACGTTCGGTACTTTGCCGAGCTGGTGTACCCAAGCTAGTATCCAGAGGATTTCGTCACTTCGAAGTCTTAAGTCAGCTTACGTGTGAGTTGATAACTATATTACTTCACCTTTTATAGAATACTCAACAATATTTGGTAAGACAAATGATACCAAAGTATACCCTTTATAGGCGAAATGCTAATTTCGATCCAGATGCGCAGTTTTTGTTCAAAAATCTGCTATAATTACAGAAACATTGTTGACCAAAGTCATCGAAGATGGACATTGATAGGGTTTAATAACATTAAAAAACATGTATTCCATCCTACGTTTGAAGTAAAACATTATCGAAGATCTTGTTATAGATATTTAAAATGTACATGGTGAAAATGTTTTGTGACTCGCATATCACAAATCATCTGACCACACAAGGCTAGGGCAACAATAATATCAAACTGATTAGGAAACATCTATATTAATCTATATACTATATACCACCTGCAAAAAGCATGTTAAATTCATTATCATGGGTTGTCAGAATGAGAATGCTCAAGAAGAAGAGAACGACTCGAGAATAACGTGAGAACAACTTGAGAACGAATTTTCCCTTTTTCAGGCATTTGGGAAGGTATTTCTCAAAAGAAAACTTCTACTCGCGCCAGGTGATGTCATAAACCGGAAGTGATATCCACCAAAAGTTTACAGTTCATTGTATTCTTCCGTGAAAATTTTCGTTTTGTCTACGTTTGTCACATACCGAAAACTTCCGATCGTTGACCATTGAGCTAAGAGGTCATTCGGGAAACATGGTTGACTTTTTTAAATGGAAAAAATATACATATTTAATGTAGTAGTATATAGATAAAAATCACTTTAGCACACAGTATTTTCAGTGTTTGTCGTTCGAACATTTTTCTCATCGCTGGCACGTAGATAAAATCGAGTTTTTATATACGTGCGAGCGATGAAAACAATGTTCAAACGACAAACCCTGGAAGTACAGTCTGCCAATATATGATGCTTGGATTTGTTCCCTTTCTATCTATATCATATAGAGGATGCTAATTTCTTCCCCATTCATTACAATATAGTTGAATACCGATTTATTAATATTTCTTTCGAGAGAAAGAGAAGCACGAGAAAAATTATCAGTATATTCTGTCAAACGAATGAAATATAAATAATAATTAGGCGGACAGCAATTAAGGTTTTTTCGGGGGGGGGGTTCCTTCAAAGAGCATCGACTGAACAATAACTGTATCAAAAGCGTGCGTTATATATGACGTAATATCATTATTCTACTGTTTACTGCTTTTATCTTGTAAACTTACAGATAAAATATTAGCTATTATGTAAAAAGTTAATAGCTTATAATTAGTGCATGTAGCATAAATGTTCCAGAACAATCATTTATTCTATAATTGTTTGCATTAGTAGCTGAACAAACAAAAGAAACTGCGCTTTGGATGCATTGAATAGAGCGTCCCATTCTTATTTGTCAGCACTTTTAAAAAGTGTTACCTTTATATGTGATTATAGCATTAAATATATCTTCAGTTCAGCGAATTTATAAGTAAGTTCTACTCAAACTCATTATTACTAATATATCATGAATAAAGTGTAATAAAAACATTAATCATATTAATTCCCCACTTCTTGATGAAAAAAACACTGTAAGATCTAGTTTTGTAGACATTGTGTTGCTTTGTGATGATCTACAAAATATAATATGAAAAGACAGTATTTAACAGATACGTATTTGATTAAATTCCACATGCTGTCTTTTCTCAGAAAACCAATTGCCGAGACTTAAAGTTTCTGCTGTATGACCGTTTGTTTAAGTCTGGGTTGGTTCTATCACTATATAAATCTGATCTGGTATCAAAATCCATATTAACACTTTGCATGAACCAATAAAATTATAGTTGCTTTGATAGCCTTATGAAAGAAGCAAGCTGTGCTAGATGGTTGGCCTATGCTATAATGCTAGTTGTCAATGCAAAGAAGGTATTTCGTTTCCAGAACACTGTGATAATTTGTGTAACTAATAATGTTGTTTCTTCAATACTAATTAATTCATTATTCACATAAGCATACATGTACTTGATTATAAGTCCTTAAACTGAATAATATATAATACCTCATGAATATTATAAACAAAATCTATAATACTTTCGAGCATATATAAAAGCTACTAGAGACACGAAGTAAGTAAGCAAAAATTTAAAAAGAGAAAACGAAAAAATGTGTCAATGCAGAATATCAATCAAATTAGCATCATTACTACACCACGTGACCATTTCGTCAGTTTAGAACTCATCAGTGAAACTAATGGTCATTAAACATATCCCCTTCCGTATTTGCTACAAACAGTCCTGTAATGCACAAACACATACGCAATATTGTAGGGAAATGTGGTGTGTGATATCACACACCGTCTCTACATGGAGTAGGGAACTGCTCCCAGGTCCCAAAATCAGTTAGAAAGTGGCAGAAAATCACACACATGTCATGTGTTCTGTTAGAAATCAGGTTGTCAAGAGACCGCGCCGAGATGTCACATTGATGTTGTAGGCGCGGTTAAAAGTCTAATGGAGAAAACTCTCCCCGAAATTCACTACACTATCAACGCCTGCACCATATTGATAATCCTATTTTGTTTGTACAGGGCACTCTGGTCGATATGCCCCGTTGTAATTGCCTTTTTTGTAATGCTTGGATATTTGGGTATCCTTGTGTACTCGTATTACAACGTTTTGGGATGTGACCCAGTCGAAGGCGGATTCATCTCCAACTTTAATCAGGTAGCCTTTATTATAATTATTATCATAATAATTCACTTTTCACTGTAAAGGTTTATTTTCCGCTTGGTTCTTATTTTCGCGGTTTTTGTGGTATAATTGAAACCATTTAATCTATGAAAATGAAATCTTCTGAAATTGGAAGCAATCTAAACTTCCCTTAAAGTTGACATTTGCGCCATAGCCACTTGGTCTAAAATCTGTAAAATCCCCTAATCCCTCAAATTGACTGTTATATCAAATTCTTGGAAAAAAGCAACCGTGCAAAAAAGACTTTTACAGTATGATTTTTCGAAAGTGTATTAATAAGCAATTCTGTAACGACATGATTAATATATTAGAAGAAAAAATATTTTAACACTGGTGTGTCACGTTTATAGCATTTTTAAAACTTTGTTATAATGTTTTGTCAGATGGGGAAAATACGATGGAATGTTTATCTGTCCTTGTGAATAATGCACTTTCGATGTTAATGCTATGTAGACCTGTTTTTTTCTTAATTGCACTGAAAATAATGTAAACCCTACGCTTTAAAAAAAAAAAAAGTATTATTGCAACGACTTTCTTTTGAAATTTCATTTTATAACCTTTTAAAATGCTCACACCTCATTCACAGCGATACGCCTCATGTAGGAATATACATGTGTTATTAATACCGATTTGAAAATGACATTCATTTAAGGATTGCCCTTCATACGGTAGTATGAACGTAATTGGCAACGAACATAGTATATGGTGCGCGTTACCACACTACCGTATACGCCGTCAAAATGAAGGTCAATCCTTATATTTACATTAAAAAATTGTTTAAATGCTACATTACGCAGAAAAAAAAGTCGAAGCCGGTCGCCACGATGGTAACTACGGTAGCCGTGGTTGCTAGGACAATAAAGTTTCAGTGAATCTACATCAATATATGAGTACATTTTGAAAATACGCAATGAACATCACTATTCATTTCCTTTTATGGGTTTTTAATTTTAAATAAAGCAATATGAGAAGCCCTTCGAACTTTTCTATTCATTTACAACGGTCGTCATGTACTCATGGAGTGACGCGGTTAGAACGAAGCCGCAATTGTTGACTTTACCGCCAAAGAAATTTGAATGTGCATCCATGGAATAAGAAGTTTGTCAGCATTCTTTTGTTGTATAATTAGACTTAATGGATCCCGAATATGTTCTATGTATCTAGATGGTGAATGATACAAGCATTGGTTATCATTGGACTGTTATCTCGCTGAAGCGTGAACGGCGCCATATTTTAAACAAGTATCAATCCGCCGAGCCTTTTTTCACTGTGTATACGCTAGTTTATACGCAGTCAGAGTTAACAAGGCTGAGTTTGCAGACACCGCAGCTATTCATTTCTCTTGATACATAGGTGTAATTTCCTCTTTGTATATGATGGCACAACTTGTATGTGCAGTGTTCGTGACATATTTTTTTCTTTTCTTTTAGCTGGTGCCGTTTTTTGTGCTCGATGTGTTACGAACACTTCCCGGTTTGTCAGGAATATTCATCAGCTGTTTGTTTAGCGGGGCGCTTAGGTAATGTTTTATAAGCGTTGATTCTTTTGTTTTTCTCCGTGTAGGATTATTTTTCCCATTATTATGTCAAGATACTAACATTTTGCGGCAAAAAAGGATTTAACATCTTGTCTGACACTGAAATTTAAACAGTATTCCATTCAGTGGAAAGCAAAAACAGACTCTTTGCTCAGATTAATATAATCTTCCCCTACCTTGAGGGTGTGACAGAGAAATCTCCAACCCGAGGGGTGATGTTTTTTGGTTGTCTAACCCGAGGCTGTGCCGAGGGTTAGACAAACAACAAAATCACCCCGAGGATTGGAGATTTCTTTGTTACACCCTCAAGGTAGGGGATGATTATTTTTCTCCTATCCTATAATTTCAGTCACAACTCAACCGACAATAGTCTGCCATGTTTGTAAACTAAACACACGTGGGTCACTTTTGATGACGTCACAATTACCGGTGACAAATTTTAATGACGTCACAATTGAACACGTGCTAATCGGCACGAGGCTATCACCCCCTAGGGATCTTTCCCGGCTAAAACGGGAGACACAAGAAAACGGGAGAATAATGGCATAAGCCCGTCCAAAATATTACTGGAAATCTAAATTCTGATTGTAAACATGACACATTCGAGGGGAAAAAAAAGAAATATCAATTTTGATTGCCATTTTAAAAGATTTATAAAAGATTGACCAATAACATTATCATTAAAATGTCGTATGTAATTTATCTTAAATGCATATTAAAAACTTTTATACTTTTAATTCAGAAAATGTTTCGAGCTTCACATATAAATTTGTAATTACTGTTATTTAATACGACTGGCCTTTGATGATACGTTCAATATTCGTGACCTGTAATTTAATGAGATATTGTAGCTAAATGAATAAGTTCAAATACAACTGTAGACATATGCTAAGTCACATATCCACTAATATCAATTACCCAAGTCTTATTTAAAATATTGGCTGTAATTGAAAGATAATATATAATTATGTATTTATCATATAAAGTAAATTATAAGCAATCAACCTAGCCTATTTTCCCGATCAGTATGCTGGTTCCGCCTTGTCCTTTACCCGGGAATAGCGTAAGTGCATTCAGTATTCCAATGCAGATTGTTTAAATTGGACCTCATGGTGGAAGATGCCCTTGTTTAAGGTTGACCAATGTCATAAAGCTGCCTTTGGATTTATTTTTCAGGCATTTTATTATATTTTATAGTACATTTTCGTCCGGAATCAACTCCATGGCTGCCAATACTGTAGAGGACATTCTTGGTGACTGTGTAAAGAATTCGAAAAGGATTTCACAAACATCAGTAGCAAAGCTATTTGGTGAGTTAGACATAGGTTTACACACCGATTATTCATGTTTTTAGATTATTACTATTGGATTTCCCAAAGCTGCATATGAAAGTCTCCTTTTATCTAAGTGAAGCTACTCTGCGTTGTTTTAAACAACTATTAAGGATCTATGACACACTGCGCTGTGCTTTTTATATAAATTAACCTACCCTTCATTTCGTTTTTGATAAACTAAAATATACTCTTCTTCATTTGAGATGATTAATTGGAGGTATAATTATGCTGGAAAAATAAGTGTATGATGCATATTTTTAGTTTTAGTAAGTAGAACGGGGATCCCAAATGTCTTAACTTCACATATGAATAGAAACACTTAAACCTTTAAATTGTTTCAAATGGGTGTTCTTACTGTAGTGATCATGTACGGGCTGACGGTTATTGGATTGGCTTATGGTATCAACTCTATGTCTGGTTCAGTTATACAGGTAACTATTAATTACAGCGAAAACTTGTTACTTTCGAAAGTATATGGATATCGAATATAAATTGAATATATTTTATTTGCACTATTTTAAAATACTGATGTTTTAAACCGTTAAGTTTCATCGTGTTTGTCAAAGGTCTGAACAACACAATTGTGAGGAAGTTCTTAAGATATTTGTTTTCTTTAAACGCTCTCTATCGATTTCTCATTCTTTTGTCATATGTTTAACTTTAATAAAATATTGATTACATTTGTGGTTCAGAAGAAGTATACGGGGTCTCATCTAAATGTTTAATTGTAACTGTGAGACAGATGACGGGTGTCGTGTTTGGGGCGTGCGGTGGACCGTTGGGAGGGCTTTTCTTTCTTGGCGGAATGATGCCCAAGGCAAACTGGATAGTAAGTAATCGTGAATAAATCATAAGGCACTGAGTCTTATCATAAATATTCTATAAACACGCTTCAGAGAGTAATATCCGTTCATACACATAAAGTCATCGGTCATAAGAGAACACAATTCTTTGATTTCTGCAAGAATAAACATGCTTCACGAGGATGAAGCAACTAATCGATTGGATTTCTGATTTCATGGGCAATGCATGCTATCAATTTCAACATATTGTATTGACTTTATATATGTTAATTGGATTGGACATCAGACTAGTCCTTTTTAAGTCCTTTCCAAACTTATTTACACACATTACATATATTCTGTCATAACAATCCAAATAAGCAGTGTAGTGGAGATAACTCAATCTAAGCTTGAGCAATAAATATATTTCAACTATTATTCAATCATTTTCTGATGATTTGGATATTTACAATTCAATAAATCGTGTATATTTGTTGACAACCAATCCTACACATTGGCATTCCACCCTATGGATATAAAGGATAAGTTACCAAGAATACATATTTAGTAAATTTTCAGAATATGATATGGATTCATATGGGTAAATAAAGTTATTTTTATCTATAATTGGAGCTGATTCTCTGAAAATTTTGCTAACAAATCACTTTAGAATAATTGTGTAACTATAAAAAAAAAAATAGAACAGGTTTAAAAGTAGAAATTATAAATTCCATTCGGTCCTGTCATATACAAGGGATGTTGTGAAAATAGATATAGGACTCACACAACTAAATAATTTACTAAGCTTTTGAGGTAAAAGCGTTAATATTTGAAGTTCAACACCAGTGACAACTGTCTACATTCACAGATACATACCTGACAAAGGCTTCAAAGGTCATTTTATGGCGGGTTTAGTGGCATATCAGAGAGTTACAGGCGTCTGCTTTTGACAACATGAAGTTTATAAGCAAAACCGGTGAAGTGGGACGGGAACACAACCTGACATTTGACCCCATATCAATCTGCCATCACAAATTAAAATCTACAATAAGTATATTTTGTAAAGATAAATATCTGTAAATTTCATTCAATGTAAAATACGTCAACAATTACCTATTTAAAAACTTAGAGGCAATGTATTAACCCGGAACAAATCTTAGGTAGGGATTACAATCGTATGAAACACTTGTTGATAGGCTGATTTAGTTGTGTGAGTCCTACACACTTAATGAATTATAATTCCGGAATCAAACAATAACATAATTGTAAAAATGATTAGGTTGACGTGTCATTGTTGTTGTTTGCTTCAGTCATTCGGAAATACGCTTTGATGGCTCTCGCCAATGTTTCCGAATGAGTCCCTGCTGGTAGGGCGTACGAATTGTACCTGCTGTCCCCATTGCATGATCGTAAGAGGCGACTAAATTTGGGATCTTATCTTTTCTCTTATTTCTAAACAGCTTTCTTCTTCCTAATGTCTCCCTTGACAATGCCTCACTTTTGGCCTTTAGTTGAGCGTTAGCCCCTGTGAGGAAGGCTTCGGGTTCTGTCCCCTGGCCGAGACATACCAGAGTCTGTAAAAATGGTAGTTTCTACTCCTGCTTAACGCTCCAATTTAGGAGTTGTCAGTAAAATGTGACCGGGCGGGGTGTCCTGCTAGGTATCTTCGGTAGTATGTTGCAGTGAGGTAGCACTATAAAGTCGGCATCAGTTCCGCGCTATCACAAGGAGACAAACACGAACATACTGCAGCCTCCCAAAACACACACGCATACACTTCAAGCTTGTATCTTGCACTCCCCTACGTTAACAATGCTAAACCAAACTAAACCAAACCAAAGTTTCCGAATGAGAGAAATATTACCGGGGACACTTGACAGCGTGAAGACGGCACGATGTTTTATATACCCGCCATGTGATTATATAGTAAAGGTTTAAAAATACTTAAGTAACTGAAGTAGCTAGACCGAGGCTCCGGAACTGTTACATATATTAGTCGGCTTTATCACCAACGATTTAATGAATCGAATTCCTATGTGTAAAATGATATACTTCGGCAACCCTAAACGGGATCACATCGTTATGTGTAAATCAGAATAACCTATGTATTATATCGCAGGGAGCTATTGTTGGCAGCATGACAGCTCTAATCTTCGACATATGGATAGCAGTTGGAGCCCAGTTATATGGGAAGCGGCCGGTTAAATTAATCCAGAACCCTATCAGTGGGTGTTTCCCCAACAACCTCACGGTAGCAATGAATGCGTCGTTGGTGAACATTTATAACACAACGATGACTTCTACTCCGTACGATGAAGGTGGACACATAAGCATGCCATCAAATAGTCAAGTCACGTGAGAAATATCATTGTTCTGCATTTATCAATATATGTGAAATGTGTTAAACATAACGATGAAACTTGTATTCGAAAATTGTATACATTTTTATTTCGTTTCAAACCTCAATCATTTTAAGTGTTTCGTCATAAGACGTGTAATTTTGGCCGTGGTGCATGATGATTTTGGTAGCGTTTAAACTTCGTTGAGCTTATAATATTTGGGTTTTTTTCTCCCGTTAATTTGTGTGGGAAGTCTATAATTTTCTTCTAATTGCAGATATTATTTATTCATTTGTATAACGAAAAAAAGTACTATTTGGTGGTAAAAAACTTACACAAATATACAAGATTTTTCTAAACGCAAATTTTAATGACACATTAAAGGTAAACATGCCGTAAATCCATTGTGTTGTAGGGTATTTGCTTATTGTTATTTACTGTGATTCATCACAGTTATATACATTTTATAAATAAAAACCTTACTTATTATAGTAACCTTATATAACAAAATTTTGTTATAGTGATAATCTGGGCTTCTAGATAATCTGCGATGTCAAGCGTTTTCAAAAGTCAAAGATTTATTTTTCCTGTCGAAGCGCAACTCGGGGAGTCAAAAGCTTACTCTGAATGGTCTATTGAAAGCACAGGGTATATATAACTGAAGTTACATAGAGTACTGACAATCGTTATTATTAAGAATTTTATATCACTAACCAAAAACAAAAATTCTGAATAAAGAGGTCGAGATGAGATTTGTTCATGAAATGTTGTTGCCAATTGCTAACATTGATATCCGTTCGGGCTCTATATGAAGTAAATTGATATCGTCCTCATATTTTTATTCTTCAATCTTGAAGATCAAATGAAGGTTTTTTCCTGTACAACATTTCCTATGTCTGGTACGGATTTATGGGATTCTTCCTGACCCTGATCATTGGCATCTTCGTCAGTTTGTGTTCAGGTTCGTAACCATACATAAAAAGAAACATAATTCATTTTTAAAGAGACCATCCGTCGTATCAATTATCACTACGTTCTAAGTTGAGACAACCTCAATCACTGTAATCAAATAATCACACGTATCTTGGAGGTTGTTATTTTGTAAACGCACCGCTAACACAAACTTTGAACGGAACAAACACCTCACACTTTAGACTTCGAATGGAAATGACCCTTAGCCAGTGTCATATTATATTTCACTAATAGGTGGTGATCGAGGAGAACCTGTGGAAGCCCACCTTATCTTCCCGATCTTTAGGAAACTGTATGGCCTGAAATCCAACTCAACATACGATTTGGCAGAAATGGATGATAAGGTATGTCTCGCACTTAAACAGATGTTTCCCAAATATTGGTTTCTTATCAAGTCTTTTTTAGTCGATTTAACAAGTTGAAGAGTTGAAATAATATCGGTTTTACTGACTGTCTAAAATAAAATCAAACATTAGTTTGATAACATTATTTATGACGATACTCATATAATCAAGTTGACTGGCTGCCAGCCCCTGAGTTTTAATGAATCCACAGCTGAAGTTTGCTACTTGTTTACCTCCTCCTAGTATAAGACATCCAAGTGACCATAATAAGAAAAACTGTTTTGTTCTGATTTGTAGATTCCTCCGACAGCAACGAGCCAGTCTATTGAGAACAAACCACACACCACATCTGAGTACCACAATGAAAGGTCGCCATTTCCCCAATCTACCGCCGAAAACGCGAGTGCATTATATTTGTAACCCTTCAGTGGGAGAAACTATCTGTCTGAGTCAGCCAGATATCAATAATATAAATTATAAAGAATATGATTATACTAGAGGATTGCTGCTATTATCTTAAAAATTTGAATCAAAAAAGGAAAATTGACCAAAAACAGATAGGTTAATCCCGACTTAGTCTAGAACATGGTTAAGTTCTAGACCAAATGGACCGAATAATTCCAAAACAAACAACTTTTACATAGTATGGCAAACTCTTTCCAGTTACTCCTCATTGTAGAGGAATGATCACTTATCTAAATACAACATCCATGCATGTGATTTCGCCTCCGAAAATCTCGAGCTGAAAAACAGTAAAAACAATGAGAATGGAGCATCAATCATGTCAATCAAAGCTTCAATGAAAGAACAATACACTAGTTTCGTAACGTCAAACGTGGTCATTGGCTGGATGGGTGCTTGTCTTCATAAACACTACATACTTAATAATTGGAACACGATGTAATACACGAGAGGAATATTTGTTTCTTACAAATATATTGATTGGTGAATAATTTATTTAACCATATTTTATAATCTTATATATCTTTTTACTCATCAAAATAATAAACCAGTATGCATGAGCAGTAAGAATGTGTTGTCTATATAGCTATTCCCTGACAATATTGAATGATCGAGCAAGAAACTGGTTAACATATAAAATAGATATAAATATTTATACATCTATACATATAAAAAAAAAAAAACAATCGATATGAAGTCAAAAAATGTAATGAATATGAAATAAGACTGCATGACACGAGTATAAACGGAAAATACTTTATTTATAGTGACTCTGTCAATGATATATAAACAGCTATGACAAACCTTTTAAATATCAGAAATATGTTATTGCAAATAAAATGAAATGGTACAGCCAGGTATATAGATATTTCTATAGGTGTGTGTTTTCCTTAAGTGAGACGAGAACATATCTCGTTTTCGTTCCATCTCCAGCGCTATATATCGCCGATTACATCGTTATAGCCAGTTCCCCCTGCATCTGTATGGGGATCGGCGTTTCTTATGGATGCAATTCGAATCAGGAGAGGAATTTCCCTTAAGATCAGCGGACTGAGAAGCTGGAGATTGCTTGTTCGATTCCTGGTAAAAGCTCTTTCTTCTTACACAATGATGGACTTCCGGTTTGATTAATTGATTATTTACCGGCCTAGAAATTGAGGAAATGTTCACCGAGATCAACGTGATGTTTGCTCTTTCAGGTCCTGAAATCATAATTGACCGGTTGGTTATATAACAATTTACATGTAACCCTCTTACACTTACACTCATCCCAAATTGAAGGATAGCATAGTCCATCATTGTATATTACATGTATTTCTATTATTGGAGCGGGATCTGATAAGATATCTTCACAACGTTCCTGAAACCAGAGTTTCGAATCCAAAATACTGTTCGTTATGACAATAATTCCTTACACATGCTAAGCCAAGGCTTCTTCCTACCTTGTTGATCAGTTTGTAAATAATCATCTGTCAAAATAAAATAAACGACAACTGTCAGGGAGACAGATTTAGAAATTTGAGCTTCAGAAAATATACTCAAAGACTGAAGCAGCATTATCTGTCTTAAACAGTTGGATTTGACCCAATTGTTACCTCGATATTATGCAGATAGAACATGTACCTTCAGATGTATTCACATGCATTTATAACCTACTCAAAGTGAGGCTTGAACGAATCGATGGATTTTTTGTCGTTATGAATCATAAATGAAGCAGAGTCAAACTTGGATAATACAACATCTGTCATTCTAACATACAGATGATTGAGTCTTTTAAATGTCATCATTTCTTGCATACGATGAAAATACTTTATTGAATATAAAATTAATGTTCCTTATTATTTACGTATATCAAGAGACATTTCTAGAAATCGATGTTACATTATTGCACTAGAATATGTTTATTTGCATGAACTTTTTCCTTGATAATCAAAACCCCGCTTCCCCAACCTACGGATATAACCTTCAATAACCTATTGAAGTTGATACAATATACACGTGCTTACTAGCGATGTCACGTTGTATCTGACTTATGTTGAAGGCCAGGGACAATCTTAACGCGTGATATTTTAAGAGATGCAGGTCGAGGTAGACTATTCAAATGTATTGAAATTGTATAGTCGCCACCATGATCTGAAGTCAGAAAGTCTGTTTCATTGTGCGATTTTAATTTCGAGATGTTTGATTATGCTCATGAATGTTCCATGTTGGCCCGTTTACATTACCCCGATAGCTCTTTAACCACATACCATTATTTTGATTTGACCTAGATTTACATGGCGGGTGTCGTCGATGAGGTAGCGGACGCTTACGATTCCCTATTGGCTATTCTTTGTTAAATATGAGAGTCAATGTTTTTTTTTATTATGCTCATTAGAGTGTCTGGTGGTTTTGTTGTCACTACCCGAGGTCTCGATGTGAGGACGTAATATTACTTGGGTTCGATCTAGATCTACATGGCGGGCGTCGTCGACAAAGCAGGGGACACTAACGATTCTCCTTTTAAAAAATCAAATGTGGCTGTGTCAATCTTTCTTAATACATAATTAAACAATATTGCATTAACTGTTTTGGTCGTCTAATCTTTTTGAGAATTATATTATTTACTTACGTTGGCAATCTCTTTCAAAACGTAAATCTGATTACAATATCTTTTGATTTTTGCATGCATAGTTCTACGAACATATTCAAATTAAGAACAAGGGGCGTCCTTTGTTCATTGAAGAGAAAAGGTTGATCTGCAGAAAAGAATAAGACTGTTGAATCACTGTTTTATGACAGGTTTTAAACAAACCAGGATAACTAAGTCAATTTAAAGAATTTATATTTGTTCTGTTTTAAAATAGTATCTTCAGCTAAGCTTTCATTCTTAGGCAGTACGCAACAAGGAGACGATGATCAGAATGCTTCAAATGGTATATATGATATTAGACATGTGAAATTGATAACTTTGAGAAATATTTTGTCATAGGATGAAATAATGTAAGGATTCATGTCACAAGGATAAGCACATTTATTATACTGACTTAAGGGACAACATGTTATGTTCTTGTTTTGTAAAACTCCTTTCAAAAGGAGATGTACACACAAAAAATGATTGTTGATTTATAAATAGTTATTTTAGCCAAATTACTAGATTAATAACACATTAGAAAAGTAAATATGAAGAGAACAACTGAGAGTATAAAAATATTAGAAATCAATAAGCAAATTATATACAAATGTATCATATTACAATGTAT